GAAAACTCCTTTGGAGAGTGTCTTTTACTGTCATTTTGTCTACCCCCATTGCAGTTAAAGTTGCTGAAATAACACCCTGGATACATCACAGCAGACTTAAACCTGCAGCTGCAGAGTGGGAATGTGTTCCACACTCCTTCGAGCTCAAGGCAATCTTCTGGAAAAAAAAAAAAAACACCAACTGTGCCAAAAGAACAAGGGTAAGACGTCAGCCCCACTTTGGTCACATCGGAAGCTGACCAATCTACACGCAGCAGAAGCCTGAGGATGACGTCTCATCAGAATGGCATCCCTAAAGGCTCTTTTCTTTCCCCTCCTACCTCACTACGTGTATGGAACCAGTCTCCCCACTTCTTCTTCCCCTTGTACCCATTGCATGCAAAGGTACAAGATAAGGTCCAACATTGCCACCGGCTTCACTTCCATAACCAGCCTACCCAAAGGGTGTGCCCTAAACGCCACACTCTTCACTCACTGGGACCTCAAAGAAACAGGTGAATTGACTCTGAGACAAGAGCTTCCGGCTCTAGGGACCACCTTCCAGACTCTCAACCAATGGTTTAGGGAAAGGCTCCCTGTCAGTTTAACCACTGAAGTTCACTCCTTTAAGCCAGGAGACTCTGTCTGGGTAAAAGAGTGGAACATTTAGACCCTAAAACCCCTGTGGAGAGGCCCCTTTACTGTCATTTTGTCTACCCTCACTGCAGTTAAGGTTGCTGAAATAACACCCTGGATACATCACAGCAGACTTAAACCTGCAGCTGCAGAGTGGGAATGTGTTCCACACTCCTTCGAGCTCCTCAAGGCAATCTTCTGGAAAAAAAAAAAAAACACAAACTGTGCCAAAAGAACAAGGGTAAGACGTCAGCCCCACTTTGGTCACATCAGAAGCTGACCAATCTACACGCAGCAGAAGCCTGAGGATGACGTCTCATCAGAATGGCATCCCTAAAGGCTCTTTTCTTTCCCCTCCTACCTCACTACGTGTATGGAACCAGTCTCCCCACTTCTTCTTCCCCTTGTACCCATTGCATGCAAAGGTACAAGATAAGGTCCAACATTGCCACCGGCTTCACTTCCATAACCAGCCTACCCAAAGGGTGTGCCCTAAACGCCACACTCTTCACTCACTGGGGATTCCAATATTGGATGGGATACATAAAGGTTAGATCTGAGAGTGGCCAATCCTGCCAAGAGCCTAAAAAAATTAGGGAAAACTTGGGGGTGTTGGCCATAGACTTCAAGCAGGGAAAGGTCCATAACCATGCAGAGGGCCCAGCAGTCGGAGAAATAGTCCAATGGCTGCGTAATTCAACCACATCTAAGCCTACACCGTCTCATAGGCCCCAAAGCCCACAAATGTATGATCAGCTAAAGGTAGCTTTGGGCCAAAACCTAGACCTCCCAACCCTAGGGAAGAACCTCTTTGTTGACCTAGCTGGAAAGATAGCCTATGAACTTGGAGCAGCACTCATGAGTGAACATTGGCCTTGGAAGGGAACTAGCCTAGATGCCTTTTACCTCCTTCAGTGGAACTACACGGTGGCTCATCACAAAGAGGGTCGACCCCAGAGCTGGGTCCTCTGCTCAGAAGTGGTAGGGGAAGAATGTCTTGGCATGATGGGTCCAGGATACACTCAGTGGGTTGGAGAAACTCCATGTAAAAAAATGCTATTTTTAAATCACACAGACCTAAACTGGTGGTTCAAGGTTCCTTCCTGGTATTGGGCCAATAATACTGCAGCTAACTCTTCCTTGTGCCACTCTCTCAATCAAAACTCGCCTGTCACAAACTGTACTATAGAGGATGGCACGGTCCCTAACCCTCTCCACGCCATCCCAGCTATTGGCAAATTCTGGGAAAAACTCAATTCCACAAGCCCCGACAGCTGGAAAGCACTCGATGGGCTCTTCTGGATTTGTGGAAAGTGGACTTTTACTCAACTTCCGACAAACTGGGACAGAAGTTGCACCATTGGGAGCATTCAGTCTGGCTTCTTCCTTCTACCTGACCAAGGAGGAAATGAGCTAGGTGTTCCCCTATATTAAGATTTAAAGGCCAGAACTAAGAGATCACTTGAAATAGGGGGACTACAAATGTGGGGGGAAGATAAGTGGCTACCCCACCATATTATCCAAAACTATGGCCCCACAACTTGGGCCCAAGATGGGAGCTGAGGTTACCGGACCCCTACATACATGCTCAACCAAATCATTAGATTACGAGCAGTTCTTAAGATCATAACCAATGAGACTGAAACTGCCTTAGAGCTTTTAGCCAAGCAACAATCCTAGATGCGGTCAGCTATCTACCAAAACCGCCTAGCCTTAGATTATCTATTAACAGAAGATGGAGGAATGTGTGGACAGTTTAACCAGACTGCCTGTTGCCTCAAAATAGATGACAATGGCAAAGCTGTGACTGCCATAGCTACTAATATTAGGAAAATAGCTCATGTGCCCATCCAAAGTTGGAAAGCATGGGACTCTGGTAGTCTCTTTGTAGGCCGGTTCTCCACTTTCAGTGGCTTTAAGACCTCAGCTGGGATAGTACTCCTCCTCCTTGGAACCTGCCTCCTCATCCTTTGCCTATTGCCTCTTGGTATCTGGTCAACTACCTCCCTCATAGAGGCTATAGTAGAAAAAAAAAAAAAAAAAAACCTGCAGCAAAAGCTATGGAAGTACCAGCCTCTAAACCAAAAATTAGAAGGAAATGATGCTCTCGGACCCCGTCCTGAGTCCGAGCATCAAAGCGGGGAATGTGGCAGCCTGACCTTGCCAAGCCATTTCCTGCTCGAATGAGTTTGTTCCTGACTGCCCCTGCCTTCCAAGGACTCTCCAGCTGACATAAATTTTCTCGTAGCTTGCCAACCAATCAATGTTCTTCCTTATATCTGTAGCTGTGTAGGAATGACAAGACTGTATAAAACTGCCCGTTATGTTACAATTGGGGCTCAGCTTTTGGATAATAATCCACTGAGCTGGTGCCAGCATAAATAAACGCTGCTTCTTGCTTATAGCCTTGGTGTCCCATCTCTCTGTTCGAAAATTCCACACCACACATATTGATGAAAAACTGAATGTTTTCCTCCTAAGATCAGAACAAGGCAAAGATGTTCACTCTCACTTGTATTTCTATTCGACATTATACTAGCCAGTCCAGACAAGAAAAATAAAAAGCATTCGTATTGGAAAGGACGAAGTAAAACTGTTCTTATTCACAGATACATAATATTGTATGTAGAAAATCCTAAGAAATCCACACAAAAAATTTGGAAATAATAAACAAGTTTAGCAAGGTTGCAGAATACATGATCAATGTAGAAAAGTTTATTATATTTCTATATACTACTAATAAACAATTCAAAAAAAATCAAAGAAACAATTTCATTCACAACAATATTGAAATGATAAAATACTTAGGAAAAATTTAACAAAATAAATATAAGATTTATACATTAAAAATCTAAATAAATGGAAAGATATCCATGTTCATTGACCGAATGATTTAATATTGTTAAAACAGCAATTCTCCCCAAATTGATTTATAGATTTAATGTAATCCCTATCAAAATTACAGCTGGCTCTTTTACAGATTGGAATTGGTGAAATGATCCTAAAATTTATATGGAAAAACAAAGGATCCAAGAAAAAAACAAAATAATCTTGAAAAGAAAAAAACTGAAGGACTTACACTTCCCAATTTCAAAACTTAACTACAATGCTATAGTAATCAAGAGAGTTTGGTACTGTCGTAAAGATAGACATGTGAATTAATTGAACCAAATTGAGATACCAGAAATAAACTCTTTCACTTATAGTCAACTGATATTCAACAAGGGTGCCAATTAATGTAAATCAATGGAGAAAATAGTGTTTTCAAGAAATGGTGCAGAGACCACTAAATAACCACACAGAAAAAGACAAATTTAGACCCTTATGTTAAACCACACACAAAAAAATCAACTCAAATGTATTACTGGCCTAATGTGAGAGCTAAAACTATAAAACTCTTAGAGGAAAACAGTAAATTCTCATGATCCTAGATTAGGCAAAGATTTCTTAGATGTGACACTGAGAGCACAAGTGACATTAGGTCAAGAAATTATATACAGAATATATAAAGAAATCTTAAAAATCAATAGGAAGACAACCCAATATTTTTAAATGGGCAAAAAATCTGAACAGACATTTCGCCAAAGAAGACACACAAATGGTCAAATAAGTACATGAAATGATGTCCAACATCACTGGTCATTAAGGAACTGAATATTAAAACTACAATGATAGCAATTCACATCCACTAGAACGGCAATTTAGATAGGAATAACAAATCTTAGCAAGAATAAAAAATGGAACTCTCAAGTATTGATGGTGAGAATGTAAAATGCCACAGCCATTTTGGTAGTTTCTTAAAAAGTTAAACATATACTTACCACATGACCCAGAAATTTCACTCTTAAGTCTCCACCCGAGAAAAAAAAAAAAAAATGAACAAAGACTATACAGGAATGTTCAGGGCAACACTATTCATAATAGCCAAAAAGTGGAAGGAAAACAAATGTCTATTAACTGGTGAATGGATAAACAAATTGTAGCATATCCATACAATGGAATACTCTTCAGCAAAAAAATGGAATTACTGATATATGCTACAACATGGATGAATCCTTGTACAAAATATCAGCAAACTGAATCCCACAACGAATAAAAAGAATTATATACCATAACCAAGTAAGATCTGTTCCAAGAATGCAAAGCTGGTTTCACATCTGAAAATCAATTAATGTAATATATCATGTTAATATAATAAAGAGCAAGAACATGATCATCTTAATAGATGCTAAATAAAAGAAGCCACATTCTAAAGACCACATACTATACAAATCCATTTATAGGAAATGTCCAGAAAAGGCAAATATATAGAGACAGAAAGTAGATTATTGGTTATCTGGGACTGGAGTGGGAACAGGGAGTGACTGCAAATGGGCACAAGGGGTCTTTTGGGGGTGATGGAAATGTCCTAAAATTGGATTATGCAAATAGTTGCACAGTGCTATAAATTTACTAAAAATCTTAACTGTATACTTAAAATGAGTAAACTGTATGGTATGTAAATTAAACCTCAATGATGTAAATTCTAACTATAACATAAAACTATTAATATCTGAAAAACAAAAAATTCTATCATTCCATCACTTATACTTAAAGTGCCTATCAATATGAATGTTGAACTGAAAAATGAACTTGCCACCACTGAATGGTTTCCTGAAAAATAAAACTAAACAGTTCTAAACAGTCAATTTTACTAACCAGAATTTTGCTTAGAACCTGATGATCCTCCATGTTCTAGCTTTGCTTTCTTCTTCTTCGATGACGATGATGTTGATGACTCAGAAGATACTGAACGTTTTTCTACTACAGGAGTGGAAAGAGCTCGTTTTTTGAACAGCTCCCGTTCTCTCAATAGGCTTGGATCCATAATGCTGCAAAGATAAATATAAGTATGTTTAATAAAAATTCCAGTCACTCAAACCTGTATGCCAAATCCATAGGTCTCAACAAGTTACTGCCCAAACAAAATTACCTTTACCAGTTCTCTAGCACTTGTATTTATTCACTTACTCATTCAATCAAAAAATCTTTAAATAATGCCTATTATGTGCCAAGCATTGTGCTAGGCACTAGGAAAGAGAAAAAGAATTATCCTCTAATGCTCTAGAACTGCACTGTCCAATATGGTAGCCACTGGTAACATGTGCTTACTGAGCACCTGAAATGGGGCTGGAGATGAGTTATACTCTAAGTGTAAAACATACACCAGATTTAAAAGACATAACAGAAAGAACTTTTAAAATTACTAATGAGGTATTTTAGATAGATTACATGTTGATATAATACTTTGGATATACTGGATTAAAATTAATTTTCTCTAATTTTTTAAAACTTTTTTCAAAACTATGGCTACTAGAAAATTTTAAATTACATGAGTGGCTCACACTTTTGCAACTTACTTTGTATTTCTATTGGACAATGCTGCTCTAGAAATAACATCAGGTCTACTCGGCAGAAATTAGGCAGACTTAGGCTTACTGTGGAAAAAAAAGAGAACCATCAGAAATGCTTATAAATGAAAATGGTAATGTCACCATAATAAAAATAATTTTAAAAAATACTTAGAATACTGTAAGCTCCTTGAAAGAAAAGTTTCCTCTTTGACTTCTTATATTTATCTTGGCATTTCGTACATACTGTGCTGGTATGTAAACTTACAGATGAGTTATTTAGCATGCTGGAATAAAGGAAATAGTGAGAAAAAAAGAGAAAAAAAGGTATTTTAAAACTAGTGAACTCTCTATCATTAAGTACATTAATATTTGATAGAAATACCTAAGAAAATTCCTTACTTGGAGGGAGGGAGGACTAAACCTCTTCAGGTTTTTCCCCCAGTTCTAAACGCTACAATTGTAATCAACTACAGTACAATAAGGGTAGCCAAAGATCATTCAACAAGTATTTTAAAACGTTCCTCTCTTATCTGAACTCTCCCTAGAAACCCAAGGAGAATCTAGGAAGCACACGAGCAGACTTTATAAATGATCTGTGCACTGTTAAGATTAGTGTTTGTAAATAAGGAAGGAAGGTCCCAGAAGAAAAAGACTCTTACACTTTGAAAACCTTCAAGCACAAGGTAGCTCAATCAAATGCTCCTTACTCCACACCTGCAATGCTGGTAAAGGTCTCTAAAACACTCTAGGTCACATTTTATTTATTCACTGCTTTTAAGCCAGGTGCTCAAGGCTTTCCTGTTCTCAGTGTAAGCAAGCTGCTTGAAGGCAAGGCTTTATCTTCCAGAATCTCTCAAAATGTGGAGGCTTTTACTGCACTTCGGGTGTGGAGTAAGGAGCACGTGATTTAAGAATCAGTATCTTAGGGTCCTCGTCCAGGTACTTTCCTTTAGAGGCTTGTACCTGAAATGTTGGTCAAGACCTCTAAAACAAAGGTGTGGGTACGGGTAATGTTCCACGGTACCTAGAGCAGAAGGCTTAATGTCTATCTTTCCCATCGCACGCTCTAACTTTTCCTTTTTCTCAGAAAGCTACTCAATATTTGTAGTTTTACATGTACTGACGTGTGGTAGACAGGACTCACCACCCTGCTCGTTTTACATTTAAAAAACACCACCACCATAGGGACTTATGTGTCCACGTGTCACAGATGAACAGGGAGAAGCCAAAATTAAGTCGCAATCTTCCGTCTCCAAAGCCCACGTTCTTTCCACCGTAATATCCGACTTCTTTCAACCTTTCTACTTACCGTTTTTTTTGCTTCTTTCCCTGCCTAAGCCTCAGAGGTGCCACTAAGAATCTAAGAACACTGCTACACTGAATAGCCGGCAAGCTAGGAAAAGAAACTGCTTACATCTTAAATGACAGAAATGTAAAGGTGGGAGAAAACTGCACCGCAGTGTTTTGTTTTGGAAAATGTCTTTAGCCTTTGCAGAAAATTATTATAACTAAAATTTAGGAATCATTACTAACTAGGTCTCCAAAAGGTGACTTAAAAAAAAAAAAAAAAAGTCCGTGGACGAGCTTCTAAATCACAGCCTTTTAGGTGCACGGACATCGTGGTTCCCCAAACTCCACACACGGGTCGCTCGGCTACTGCTAACGTAAACTTGGGGGCTACGAAGAGGCACAATCGGCTATCCGACTGCGAATTTCTCCTTTACAACCCAAAAGTTTGCTGAATAAACCTCCGGCCTAAAAGACAATGCTCCCAAGAAGTTTGTTACTGTGTTTAAGTGCTTCTCGTAGAGAACGGCAGCACCAGCCTCACGATGGGTGGAAGACACACTCGCCCCTTGGCAGGAAGCGGTCCCCACGACAAGCAGGCCAGAGTTTCGCGCCCCTCGCCTCGCGGCTGCAGCCCCTACCTGAGCAAGGTGGGCCGCCCCACGCGACCCGCTGTCGCCTCCCACTGTCTCCGCCTCGGCCAGCCGCCCGCGTCCGCGTGGCCGTCGCTTTCGGCTCCTAATCAGTCCCCCCGCCTGTCCGGACGCACGCCCAACGCCGCCCCCGCCAGGTCGGGGGTCTCCGCACTGGCAGCGGCGGCTGCAGCACCGACAACACTGCCCAGGGCTCCGCCCGCCACTTCCTGATCAGGCTGCTAAGAGCTAAGTCCCGGCAGCCACCGCGGCGCCTCCGCCGCCTAGAATGCGCGTGCGTCATCACGTGCCCTGCTTGGGTGTAGTGCAGGAGAACCAGCCAGCTGAGGCGTTCCGGGTCTCCATGACAACAGGAGGGTGCTAGGGACGCGGCGGAGAACAGGACTCAAGTGGGAATTAGCAGCCGCTAAAATGGAACTTTACTTTGCGTAAAATTAATGCTACCAGATCCTCCTGCAACGTCATCTGAAATCTGTTACGCGATTTTTCAAGTTATTGTCTACTAGGTGATTTGTGACTTTACATTAAAATGCCTGTACCAGCATCTAAACTTCAAAGAACATTGTTTCAGCTCTATTACATATGAGGAAACAAGAGGCCCAGGGAAATTAATGACTTGCTCAAAACTGCACAACAAGCAAAGGCAAATCCTGATGTGAAGCCCAGTTTCTAAACTCCTAACCACCACACGTGTGAACTTTTAGAAAAAAATTTCGGATTCAGAAGCAACATAAAGGGGTAGAAATACAGCCTGCCATGTACTGGAGTGTCTGATTTCTGCGCTCTTTTCTTCACTCCTATAACCTAAAGCGGCAGCATAGCCAGTGCTCAACTATTCTGTGGCTCTTTTAATTCTCAATACTGGTTACCCAAGTTACTTGTGTTGGTTTTTCTCATCAGGGAATAATTGTACGACCACAATGGGTTACTTGCATTAGGCTGTTACGAAAATTAAATGAGATGATAAATTTTTAGTCAAAACTTGGAAATAAAGACAAAAGATGATTGTGTGACTTTTAAAAATCGATTTCATTGTAGAGGATTTTGTAACAAACCCACTTGACGTTCATCTGATACCCTAGGGAAATGTAACTTTGAATAACAATTTAGTAGTGTCCAAAGATTTTAAAACCCAGTAAAGCTAGAAATATCTGGTAAAAAACTGATGAGGTATAATAGGGAGCAGCAGATATCAAGTACAAAAAATAATCCGAGGTTAAAATTGCATTGTGCTGAGAAACATGAGCCAGTATTGTTTCAATTTATTAATCTTTATTTCATTGTTCCTTTCCCCAGTGGTTTTACAAATTCCAGTTTCTCATACCTTGTGGAATCAGTTGTATCATTCTGCTGGTGTCCTTGAGAGAATTAGTATACAAATGGACAATGACTAGGCCATAAATGATTATAAAATTCTGACCCACATAAGAAACCAACCCACAACCCTTGAGCAATCAGCTCATAATGGCCAGGATCTGCTCAAAGGCTGCCAACCTCCCTATTTTGGACACACATACACACACACACATGCACCAAAACCAACCAGAGAAAACCATATGTGCTCTCTAAATCAGCCAGAGATGTCCGCTTCTAGTTTCTTCACCTCCAGCTTCCCTTGCCAACAACCTTTTATAAGAACACACTAGGAGCATCCTTTTTTTTTCTCACTATACCAGCATACCTCATTTTATGGTACTTCACTATATTGCACTTCACAGGTGTTATTTTTACATATTGAAGGCAAGAGCCTCCCACCAACAAAATTATTACAACTTGCTTTATTGTCATACTTGTTTTATTATGGTGGTCTGGAACCAAACTGCAAAATCTCCAAGGTATGCCTGTAAAGCTTCCCCTCTTTCTGATCTCCTGTCAAATACAAGTGATGGTGGCTGACTCCTTGCTATAGCAAGCTCTGTAATTTCTTTCCTCATGTAAGTGGTCTTCAAGTATTTACATTTTATTTAAAAAAAAAAACAACTTTAGTACATGCTCATTATCTAGTCACGTGAGAATTATGAGCTTAAAATTAGAGAATGATGCTTTTTACACAACTAGATCTACCACAAGGAGAGCACTCAATGAACCATTAAAAAATAAACTGAGGTACATTAAAATTTTGAAGAGCTTATTTGCGCAGACGTCAACTAAAATCATGCAACCCCAAACCAAAAATGGTTAGGAACACTCAACTGACAGGAGTTTGGGGAAAGGTTTTCATTGAGAAGATTCAGAAAAAAGCAATAAAGTACATGATTGACTATAGCTTAAGCGATTGGCTTATTTGGGAAAGCCTAGTTGGTAGGTTGTGATTAGTTCTTAAATTTCATTTTCTCCAATTTAAGTGCATTGATTCTGGCTTTGGTTTCAGTTTGCTTAATGTAGGATACCAAGGCATTAGAGCCATCACAGTCTAATGCCCTCCTTGTTTATTTACTTTAACAAAATGCTCACAATTATTCCTTTATTTCATGTCTTATCTTAGCCAGTTGGAACAGACTTTGGACATAGTTACCCCTTCCAATGCCAATATTAGAATGTTATTTATAATCCAAACCCCCAAATCTCAATTGCCCCTTCTTTACCCAAATATTAGCTATTAGTATGCCCAGTTTGAAACCTTCTCCTACAGACAGACTACAGCAAATCATTGAAATATATAAATAATGGATGTTATCAACCAGTACTATTAATCCTGTTTATACTGCCTTCTGCCTGTGACTAGGTCATAACACTGAAAGCAATGACTGCATTCATTCAAAACACTTTTGGGTGATACCTTGTACTCTGAAGATAGTCAAGTGAAGGCAAAAATGAGCTCTCTATATGGCCCATAATTAGGCTATTTTTGTATCAGAAGTACTACACATGGACATATTACAAATGAACTAAAAAGAGGTTTGTCTGTTGGTAATGTCGACTACAACAATGATCAACTTAACCTTTCCCAAATGAGCTTGATTTCAGGGCATTCAAGAGTTGAGATTAAACATATAGACTTTAATTACTTTTATTCTGTCATCTCATCCTTGTTATACAATGTAGACACCACCTGGGTTGCTCCTGAGGCAGCCTCCAGCCAGGGCTTAGTGTCTGAGATGTGAGACGTGACTAGGACATGGCTATTTGTGTAATATACACAAAGTCTCCATCACTGATGCTTAAATAAACCTCTATTATAATTAAACCCACCTACATATTAGCATCCTCAGTATTTCAAGTCCCAAGGGTGTGCCTAGTGTCAACTTATATGAAGAATGATTCCAGCTACTAATGCAATAGCAATTATGTCTTACTTATCTCATGAATGCTTATAATATCCTGCATACTTTTTGATAGAAAATATGGTGGCTTTTTCAGGAAATATAATTTCTATGTTTTATAAAACATTCTCCTGTCCTGGCCAATCCAAACTCCTCTACCCAAAAAACACAACTCAATATAACTACAGAATTAATTTCAATATAGCAGATCTTTTTTGCACTATTTTATTTAATTGTGGTAAAATATACATAACAAAATTCACCATTTCAACAATTTTAAAATGTACAACTGAATGGCATTAAATACATTTACAATATTACCAATACCTACATCCATCTCCAGAATTTTTTCATCTTCCCAAACAGAAACTCTGTACCCATTAAGCAATAACTGCCCATTCCCTCCTCTCCAAGGCCCTTGGTAACTTCCCCCCTCATCCTCTGCCATTGGTAATTCCTTATTCTTTCTCTATGAATTTGCCCTAGTTCTAAATATTTTATGTAAGTGGAATAATACAATATTTGTCTTTTTGTGTCTGGTTTATTTCACTTAACGTAATGTTTTCAAGGTTCATTCATGTCCTAGCGTGTATCTGAACTCCATTTTTTTTTTTAATGTAGTGGCTTAATTTTTTTATATTATATAATTGTTTGGAAGAGGAAAATTGAGGTAAAGTAAATTTATTTCACTCTGCCATCAAATAACAACTGCCTTTCAATTCCCCTCATCTGGCACTCCATCTCAACTAACTAGATATATAAATTCTCAAAATAGCAGACAAAGCAAATTAGCCTACATTCGCAGATATCAAAAGCTAGAGTAAGTACTTTGCTCATTATCGGTCCTGGATTTCTCTAGTATGGGTGGTCTCTCCTTCTGTGGAGCCTTTTCCCCTACCTTCTGATGCAGTCTGCCCGTCCTGAAAATAACTTCCCAGAGTAAGACATTAGCATTCATCCTTCCCTAGCATTCATCCCAAGAGGGAGGAAAAACAATCTTTTTTTCCTTCAACCCATCTTAAGCTCTGAAGCTAAGATCCTGTAATTAAACTAAAGACATTAACAAGAAAAATAAGTTTATTAGCATGTGCATTGCTCATAACATGGGAGTATCTAGTGATGAGTAACTCAGAGGGGTGGTTAGAACTTAGGCTTATATAGCATCTTCACAAAAGAACAATAACTTTTTAAAGACATGACAAAACCTTGAGTGAAAAGAACTTTGAGCTTCTGGAGTGGTAAATTATGCGAAGGCAAATATATAGGGAAACTAATGGAAGATAAGGGCTAGTTAGTAAAGTTTGTCATGTAGATTCCTCTGGAGCCATCTCTGGGATGATAAGGGCCTAAAGTTGTTTCTAATGATTAATTTTTGTCCTTCTTGGTAGAGAGGGTAAGGGGGACACCTTTATAAATTTATATCTTACTTTTTTAGGCAAATAGAGGGAAGGTAGAAAGCTGTTCTTACATCTGCTTCTTTTCTATAACTTCCATTCTGAAGGGGTTAAAATACTGGACTTTGAGCCAGACAGAACTGGCCTGAATTTCTGCTCCACCAATTACTAGTCGTGTGACGTAAGCCCGTATTTAATCTCTCTAAACTTGAGTTTCCTATTCTGTAATGGAAAGGACAGTCTTAGTTTGGGCTGCCATAACAAATTACAGTAAGGCTTCACTTAACATCATCAATAGGTTCTGCAACTTCAAGTAAAACAATGTATAACGAAATCAATTTTACCACAGGCTAATTGCTATAAATAAGAGTTAAGATCCTATGCATCTCATCAAAGTTATAACAAAATGACACTGAACGAAATAATGTTATTCGAGGACCTGCTATACCACAGACTGGGTAACTTAAACAACAAACATTTATTTCTCACAGTTCTATAGGCTGGAAAGTACAAGGTCAAGATGCCAACAGATCTGGTGTCTGTTAAGAGCCTGTTTCCTGGTTTGCCTTCTTGCTGTGTCCTCACAAGGCGGAGAGCAGAGAAAGAGAGGAAGCAAGCTTTTTCTTATTTCTTTTTAGAAGGGCACTAATCCCATCATGAAGGCTCCACCCTCATGACCTAATTATTTCCCAAAGGCCCCTACCTGCAAATACCATTATATTGGGGGTTAGGTTTCAACATATGAATTTGATTGGGACACAAACATGCAGTCCATAACAAGTATTAAATAATAACTGTAAAGCATTCGCCACAGTGTGGACTATCATAGCTATTATTATTAGAACCCAAAGCATTCACTACAGTGTGGACTATTATAGCTATTATTATTAGAACTCAACTCTCCAGTTACTCTTCAAAGTCACCAATGATTTCCCAATTATTAAATCCAATGGTCTCTGTGGTAGATTGTATAATTGTTCACATGTACCTCCTCTTCTTGAAGGAAAACTGTATTTCCTAAGTCTTTAGGCTCAGTGGCCTCCTATGTACTATTTTCCTTTGAGCTACTTCCCTGTGTCTTTAATCCTGACAACTCTGTCCCTTTCTTCCAAGGTCTTTGCCATTATCCATCTCTTAAACATGGGTGTTACTGACACTCTGGACTCCTCTCGCTCTTCACATTCCTTGTCTTAAAGGTCATATATATACACCCCTGGCTTTAACTATGACCTCCAGGTATATAATTCACAAATCTGTCTCCCTAATCCTGACTTTTCTCCTAAACGCCAGCTTTTAAGCTTCCAGATCCCTACTGGGACCACTAACTCAACATACCCTAAACTTAGTGTCTGCTGCCTTTAAATCAGTTTTTCTGCCTATCTTGGCTCTTTCTATTAATGGCATCGACTTTCTCCCAGTCTCTCAGACTAGAAACTTCAGGACTAGTTTTGACTCCTCCTTTTCTCTCAAGTCCTAAATACTATCAGTTCACAAATTCTGTTGACTCTTTCACTGCAAATTTTCTTATGTGTATCCCTTTCCCTTCCCACCAAGACCACCCTAGTCCGGGCCCTTTATTGCCTCACGTGGACAACCTCAGCCTCGTTTCTGACCTCCCACCCTACTCTCTACTCTTTCCACTTCAATCTTCCAGTCCCACTTTGATGACATTTCTTCCTTTAACAATCTTCAATTTTTAACTATCAATGACTCCATATTCCTAATCTTCTCATCCACTGATCAACATCCTCTCCAAATAGCACAATCAAATTTTCTAGCATCATCACCTATTAACTCCAGTCATTCAATTCAACAGTACTGGGCACTGCAATAAGCGATGTGAATATACAGTACGACAGTCTCCCCTTACGCTGTTTTGCTTTTTACGGTTTCAGTTATCCGTGGTCAACTGCAGCCCAAACATGTTAAATGGAAAATTCCAGAAATAAACAATTCTTAAGTTTTAAATTGCAAGCCACTTCTTAGGATGACGAAATCTCTCAACAGTCCCACTCTGTGACTCAGCCCTTTGTCCAGTGTGTCCACACTGTACATGCTCCCTGCCCGTTAGTCACTTAGCAGCCCACTCGGTTAGCAGACTGACTGTCAAGGTATTACAGGGCCTATGTTCAACTCACCCTTATTTTACTTAGTAATGTTCCCAAAGCACAAGAGTAGTGATGCTGGCAACTAGGATATACCAAGAGAAGCCATAAAGTGCTTCCTTTAAGTGAAAAGGTGAAAATTCTTGCATTAATAAAGTATTCTACCATCTCATATCACAAGAAAGGTGAGTACAGTACAATAAGATATTTTGAGAGAGACCACATTCACATAACTTTTATTCAATATACGGTTGTAATTGTTTTATTTTATTATTATTGTTAACTTCTTACTGTGTCTAATTTATAAATTAAACAGTATCATAGGTATGTATAAGAAAAAACAAAATATAGGGGTCGGTACTATCTACAGTTCCAGGCATCCACTGGGGGTCTTGGAACATATACCCTGTAGATGGCAGGGAGGCACAGGGACTACTATATAAAAATGTAGAGCATGCTCCTGTGTTTGGAAGGAGCAAATACTCTTTACTTATACTTAAAGTCAATGCAACAAGTGCTATAATAGATGTATAAGCTTTCTTGTAATTCAAGGTTATAGTTTAGGAAAACAAAACTGTAGCAACCTTAAAAACTGGAAACTGATGTAGGCTAATTTAAGCACAATGAATGTATTCTATATAGGGTAGCTCACAGAATCTTGGGAGGGCTCGTGATCCAGGCTCAGAGGCTAGGCAGCTAGTGTCATGGTGGCCAAAATCATGACTCAGAAATGATCCAGTGAGGTCAGCATTGCTGCCATGGGATTCTAGTTGCTATAACTAAAAACTGACATGGCAGGTACTGGTACTACTGCCAGACCAACCCTTAATTTTGTTGCCATAGTCACTAGAATTCTCTCATCCCTGTTTCTGAGTAGTCGGGGGTGGGTGCATCTGATTGGCCAAGCCTATGTTATGAGCTTTCTCCCTAGCTGCAAGGGAGCCTGGAAAAGCATGCACCTGATATTTTGGGGCTCTATGTGGGTATATGGGCTTTGTCTCTTATTGAGGTTCATAAGGATGGGATTCCCCAAACTTATGAAGTCTGGATGCTAAACAGTCAAAAAGACAAATGTCTACTACAACTTACAGAAAAAAGACTTAAAAGGGGAATTATTGCCATAAAAATTTATGTAAAAACTAGATGTCGCCCCAGCCCTACCGTCCAACACTTTACCTTTTAACACCGTGCCCTAACACATTAAATAGCACTTAAAATATACTACATGAAAAACAGAAATGACTATATATAATCACTCTTACCTTTAAGATATTGACAGATCTTTATTGAAGAATCAACATGCTAAATTATCGTATAAAAGGCAATGGCAATAAAAGAGTATTTCTCAGAGCAGGGCACAATGGAAACCATCTTCTATACCTTCCGCTAACAGCTCGTCACCTACATCCAGGTCAAACTCATGGAAAGAGAAAAGTGTGTTGAAGACCTGAAAATCCTGCCTACAAATTTTTCAAAAACATAAAGGATTAAAATTTTGGCTTTAGTACTATAGATATTAGTGTAAAAAATCACAGTAACACACCTTCGCTCTCTTGCAACCAGAGCTGCTGCATGACGTACCAGGAATGATATTACGAAACTCAACATAAAGAATATAGAAATGATTGTCAAGTGTAAAATGACATTTACAAGGTGAAAATGTAGTGCAGACCTATTGTGTAACCAGGTATTATGGGAATATATAGCAAATAAAACTACTAGCCTTCAGGACATGGTTCTATAGTGTAGCGGTTAGCATGTCTGCTTTACACGCAGAAGGTCGTTGGTTTATGCCCCAATGGAGCCACAGTCCATGGTCTATGGCCATGCCAACCTGAAGAAGCCCCATGTCTGATCTTGGAAACTAAGCAGGGTCGGGCCTGGTTAGTCCTTGGATCAGAGACCACCTAGGAAGACCAGGTGCTACAGGAATAAATGATGACAACTTTTTTTAAAAAAAGTATTAGTCTTCAAGGTGGTTTTAGTCAAGACTTGTAAAATGAGATTTCTAGGTCTTGTGATTAAAATGGCCACAAATTCTGTAACACTCCTCCCACTGAGGTGAAGAGTCATTAACTTCTGCTTAAATCTAAGTTGGCCTTAGTGACTTGCTTAACCAGTAACATGTGGCAGAAGTGATGTTCTAGAACTTCCGAGGTCAGGTCATAAGGCATGTATCATCTGCCTGGGAATCTTGGAACAATCTCTGGGAGCCCTGAGCTTCCGTATCAGCCCATTACACCTTGAGACTGCAATACTGGAAAGACCACACGTGAACACTCTGGTTGACAGCCCCAGCTGAGACCAGCCTTCCAGTCATCCTTGTCTAAGTGTCAGATATATGAATGATTCTGTTTTAGACTTTCTAGACCAGTCCAATTGCCAGTTGAATACCTCCAAATGATCTCCGTCAACACCAGTGGAAGAGTCATCCTTGCAAGCTGAGATTTGCTCAAATTCCTAACCCACATAATCATGAGATATAATAAAGTGGTTGCTATGTCAAGTCACTAAGTTTTCAGGCAGTTCGTTATGCAGCAATACATAACTGGATCATCAGGCAAACAGGTGAGAAAGAACATTCCACACAAAATAAACATGCACTCTTATTATCCAACCACGTTGAATGAACTCTATCATTTCCCAGAATCTTGACCCACTATCTTTTAGGCTGGTAGGTAAGAAGGGTAGGAGGAGGGAGAGTAGTGTGTGGTTATCTCAGTCCAGTCCATGTCCAGGTTTTTAAACCCTATTTTCTTGCTGCAACAGTCACATAATCTAGTTAACTAACATAGTATTTTTCTTTCATTGACACTGGAACTATTTGAAGTCTGTGCAGCAACCTGGCCAACCAGAAAGACATTCATTCATTAAAAGCTTTATGACAGAAGTCAGTAGCACTATGCCACTAATAAAAGCCATGGAAAATTTGAACTAACTTACCTAGCTGGTAAAGGCACATGGAAATAAACTGTTAAAAACCTAAGTGATTTCTAGACTGTTCTTCCAACTCAACCATTAAATTGGCGAAATGCTTTTTATACCTGTGGTCTATATTTATAAAAGTGAAATATCTTTTCTCCCCCATAAGGCCTTAAGCCTTTGGCTCAGTGTTGGCATCTGTTCCTCCAATGTGCAACATTCTTAGAAAATGAACTGTTACCTATAAATTAACAACAACAAATTTTATAAGAAGAAAAAGCTGCAATTTTATTTTTAAATTTTTGGAAATAATTTCCAGAAAAAAACAAAAGGACAAGAACACATAAAAGAACTGAAATCATTCATTGAGCCACTGAACTATGAACTCTGAGCAGACAGACTTGTGAAGTATTGGAGTCCCTCTCCTTCTGAAAGCAGGAATCACTTCTCAAATGTCCCTCACTTATGTAACCAGCTTCCTCAAATCTTTTCCAAGTTTAATGTACTTTATCTCATAAAAGTAAAACAAATAATTTGTAATCACTTAAAACAAAAGAAAGAATAAAATAAAAGAGGCAGGCCTCTTGTGTCATGTTTTTAGAGAAAGGTCACATCCCTGAAGCAGCTTTGCAATATGCAGAGCACAGTACTGGCTTTAAAATAAAACCCAACCAAACCAAAAAAAAGAGATTCTGTGCACTTGCATTATTTAAATGTGAACAGCTGCTAATATACTTCTCTATAAAAAGTAGGAAGCTATATTCATTCATTCATTCATTCATTCAAAGTATATTAATTGTAGTTCACATAGTTTTACACTTGGGATGAGGCTCAAACAAAAACAAAAACAAAACCAGCTAGCACAGAGCTGTTAATAAAAAACTTTAAAATATTATTGTGAGAAGTAATCAAATGAAAATTATCCTACATAACGAAAAATTCCCAATTACATAAATAATGTCTTATTATTTACTGAAAATTTCTACTGTCAGAAGATCCTAATTAAAATAAAGAAATACATAAAATAAGAACAGTTTAAGTAAATGTGATTTGGTTCACTTCAGAAAGTGTACTGGTCCAGCTGCCAGCCATAGGAGTCTGAGTTCTCAACGAAGTGTGACTAGTTCTTCCGAAGAGGTAGGGTGAATGGCAATCGTGTTGTCAAAGTCAGCTTTTGTGGCTCCCATTTTCACTGCAACGGCAAAACCCTGCAGCATTTCATCACACCCAATCCCTTGCATGTGGATCCCAATCACCTGAAGAACAAAAAGAGAAAGATATCGAATATTAAAAACTTCTAAAAAACTTACACCTCCAACCCCAACAGGCATGACAAAGCTTACATAGTCCTACCTCAACATCCCTCCCCAGCCCATCTCACATAGTCCTCCCTCAGGCTTTCTGCCTCGCTGACGTTCTTTCTGCCCTGGATACTCATCATGCTCTCTCTTTTACACAAGTCATTCTCCTTCTGTCTAGACAATCTTCCAGCACCTCTTTTGACAGTTAAAGACCATTCATTCTTCAGAGAAACGCATTCCTTCCTGATCAAGTTAAACTATCACATGATCTCTCGCTACCAATGTTTCTCCACCATGGTTCTATCACAACTGCAATGATGTATTTATATTTTGGGGGACCAGACAATCACAGTCCATCTTTCATAGCACACTTTAATCTCCAGATGACAGAACCCTGTCTGCTTTTGCTCCCCACTCTATCCCTACAGCCCAGCACAAAAATGGCCCTCAGGAGGCACTCAGTCCTACATGCCAGATGACTCCACAAAGGACCATATGAGGCATTTGTTTCAAATCACATTTTCCAATGAGCTTTCTCACTATACTTTAAAACTATTAGTTAATGTTCCCCTCAGCAAATGTTTTGAGGGTAAATAGTCCATTGAAAAACAGAGAACATAAAATTTATCTACAAAAATATTTTGTTTAAAAACAAATCAAAACTGAATGGTACACTTAAAAATGGTTCAAGTAAATTTTATGCTAAGTGCTTTTTACAATTAAAAAAAGTACATCTCAATTTAAAACAAATAAACTCCAAATCATGTATTATATATGCATTAAACAGTCAGATTTTTAGATATTGTGATCTAAACTGAATTTACAACACCAGAATTTCTGGTGACAGTGGGAAATTTATATTACTCTTCTCTATATCCCAGTTATTAAGTCTTTAGCAGACTGTCAGGTAAGGTTTATCAAATGAATGAATGATAAATGGTATGAAGAGATAAGTAGGAATGATAAACTGATATGAAGCGATAAGTAGGCATCTTGCTGATTCTACATCTGGAAATCTTAGGCTACTGAGGAACATTCAGGGACAAGAAAAAAAGCAACCTCTGTTTTGCTGCCAACCCACTTATTTTCTTCTCTTTGCTGATTCTCTGAGTCTGTCAATCCTCAACGATGTTGACTTCTATAAGCCAGGGACTATGTCTTACGGCTTTTGGAGTACAGGACCACTGAATCAGATACAGACTATGTTCTTTCTGACAAGAAAAGTTGGAAACTACATTGGAATCTTCAATTGAGCCACTATCCCTCACGGAGCCACGTTCCCAAGGCATATTGCTAAGTTCCATTTTAACATTTAATTCAACTTGTTGAAAAAACCAAGAGGCTGACCTAATACCCAATTTTTTAAAAAATCTGTTCAAATTCAAACCAAAATCATAAGAAGATACCATTTCACATCCACTAGAATGTTCATAATAAAAAAGACAATAGCAAGTGTTAGCAAGAATGTGGAGAAATTGGAACTCTCATACAAGGCTGAGGGAAATGCAAAATGGTGCAGCCACATTGGAAAATAGTTTGGTAGTCCCTAAAAAGTTAAACCAAAAATAGATAATTTTACTGAATAAACTTGCTCTTCTTCACTGATTAAATTTATCTTACATTAAATCCTCACACTTACCCATATTTCTGAGTTTCCTATCTATCCTGGCCAATGATAGTGAACTTTTTGTGGTTTTCAAACTTTCCCCCTTGGTTTGCAGTAGAACCTTCTAAATGAAATATTATAGCAGCTCAATATATGTAGGCAGATAAAAGTGAGACTGTTCCAGTTGAACCAGGAGACTTAACTACTTGGTCTCCTTCCTCCCCACCTCACCAAGATGCCCCAACCCCTGCCAACTTGAAGTCACTCTTTAGCTTACTGGATTTTCCCCATACCTTCTCTTCTTTGTTGGCACAAATCATTTTCATCACACATTTTGTTTTCCTTTTGGTAACTGCATGATACATTGGGGTAAAGGTGGTTGAGTAGGTCTTCACATTTTCTTTTCCATATTTAGAAATGGCCTCATCTGTAATGCACAGGGGGAAAAAAATCTATCAAAAAAGTAAACAGTTCCACTAACCTATCAAAGAGAGAGCAAGAAATACATAATCTGAATCAAATCATGAGAAAATATCAAACAAAACCAAAATGAGCATTATTCTACAAAGTAAATGTTGATATCATAAAAGATGAAAGACTGAGGAATTACATCTCTCGATTAAAGGAGACCAAAGAGGTATGAAAACTAATTATAGTGATTATCCTGGACTGAATCCTGGACTTCGGGAAAAGAAAGTTAAAAATGACATGATTTGAGATAATTGGTAAATCTGAGTAAGACCCAAAGTTTAGATAATACTGCATCAATTTGAATGTTCTCATTTGAAAATTACACTGTACTTCTGTAAGGAAACTGCCTGGTTCTTAGGAAACAGATACTGAAGTGAGTGAGTGAGTGAGTGTGTATGCGCATATGTGACACACAGAGAGAAAGAAAAAAAGAAAAGAAAGCAAAAATGTTAACAGTATACAGGAGTCCTCTGTACTATTTCTGCAACTTTTAAATTTGAAATTAGTTCAAATAAAAAAGCTTAAAAGAAGTAAAAGAGATGACAGCATTGTATGGGGGGAAATTAATTATATGCTTAAAGTGATGGTAAGGAGGAAACTGGAACTGTGACAAGAGGTTAACCAAAACGGAGTGTAACCAAGGAGACAGATTTAGTCAGCTGACAGACATCTAGTTTAAAGTTGGGAGTGGAGGGAAGGAAACCACAAATGACCTTCATTTTTAAATACCTACCTTCTGTGAGTCCCACTGTCCCAATAGGGGGGTGACTAAAGACCACTGTGGGGATGTTGTCATAGTCTAATTTGGAATCTTCTTTGCATTCAAAAAGTCTATGGGCAAGTTTTCGGCCAGCAGCTATGGCAACTGTAAAGATATTTTAAAATTAGTGTTTAGTTTATTGTTCATTTTAACACAGCAGAACTGTTCTAACTATTTAGCCATCTGGCTTAATATACTAGTTCTGACGTTTTACGCCAATGCTCATAATACTGAGTTCAATATAATGATGACAGCAATGGCTCAGTTAACAATTCAAAAGTATCAACTACGTGAATTCTGTACATTCTAATATAACAAATAAAAAAGAGACACATACAAGTTCCCAACCATCTGGCAGTGACCTAGTTAATGAGGATATCACCTTTTCAATACGATATTTATGGCGCAGACTATTTTAGTTTTAAGCATCTTCGGTTCTACTTTATAACCACATTCAGTTCATGCTAATTTTTTTTAAGTTTATTTTTATAATAATTTTATTTATTCTTTTTAAAAAGTTTATTCTTCTTAATCTGTTTTTACCACTAACAGTCTTTATCTTAAAATAAATGACTTAGTTCAGTAAAAGCATCAGCTATTAATTTTGATTTGAAATTGACAGTTTCCCCCAGAAAATAAGTTATCAGTAGGATACAGAAGAAATTTCTTCACTTTGACAATTTTCAAGATTGTGTTATAAAGTTTTTGAAACTTCGCTTGTTATTTTGCTTTTGTGAAGAGAACTTTAGAGAAGCTAAAAGGCTTTGTGTGTGTAATGGGAAGTTTCCATTTTGAGGTAAGGCCCAGGGCCATTTTGGAAAGGCTAGTGAGGTCGCAGAGGGGTATGGAGTGAAAGCAGATGGAATGATGCTGATACAGATAGAAGTGTGACAAAAAGCTTAAAAAGGTGCCAGTTAACTCAGGAAGTAGGTTGAGGTATGGAATTCAGGGGATGGATGGGGGTCAGTCTTGGCTGTATTAAGACTAAATAGTCCTATAAGAATCCCACTCAAAATTACTTCTTCCCTAACTGTCACCACACACAACTGATTCTAACTTACAGTGTTCAGACGATGACTGTATCAGCTATATAAAAATTTCAGTCTTCGCTAAGCATTTTTAAAGTAGAAATGAATATTATTTAGAAAACATCAGGTTTTCTAAACCAATACCTATTTCAATATTTTTATCATTTTGATGACATAAAGACATTCATCCTTTTAACTTTGCTTAAGCTGATTTGACTATGAACTGCTGAACAGTTTTATATAACACAGAGAGCCTCCATTACCCAAGAAGAGAAGAAACATTACCTGGAGTAAGAAGAGCTTTTCCACACACATCCCCAACTGCATAGATGCCTTTTACATTAGTATTCTGGAATTCATCTACGATGATATGACCTTTCTTGTCAGTTTGAATCCCCTGAAATTGTGAAGGGACATCGTGTAACTATCCAGCTTATCTACAAAAAATGGCAGATCAAATCTCTGGATCTACCTCATTTCAGGCACCTCTTTAGCCTGAATCTCCAAGAACTACAAGACGAAAAATAGAAGTTGCCAAGATTCCTATCTTTTGTTTAATTGAAAAGGGAAATGTGTTATCCAATTTTGAGGTGTTTTAACAGGATCTGCAACGTACAACTCAACTGGAGAAGTAAACATGAACAAGAATCACTCAACTATTAGACCTGCTACCTGCTATCTCTGTAGAGTCCATCTAGGACAGTGTTTTTCAACCTTTTTCCACTGAAGCAGTCCTCCTGAAGCTTGCTAACTCATACCCTAGAGGGGCACAACTTGAAGCGGTCATCAAAAGCAGATTTCTGTGAAGCTTACCATTTTATCTTTGACAAGCCAAGCAAATTTTGCATTCTATTCTAAAGTATATTGCTGTTTCCTTTAACCAAAATATTGCCCTATAAATTGAGTCGAATTTTTGCTCCAAGATGCTTATCTTGTGGCTTTCTAGATGCCATGTGTATACAATCCCATGTGAGTAGAGACAACAGAAGCAGGAAGCAGGTACTGAAGAGGTCAAGAGCAATTACCTTTGAAGCCAGATCAATCTAGGTTCAAATCTCAGCCATTTGCTAGCTATGAGATATTGTATAACTACCTATTTATCAACAAATATTTCAACTTCTAGTACAAATGAGGCATTAACCTGGTCACTGTGAATGTAGTAGTAAGTAATATAGACGTCCTCCCAGCTCCATGGAGTTTACAGCCATAAATTATTAGCTCTGTGCTCCTGGTTTCCTCATCCTTACCCTCAAAGAGTTGTTGGAAAGATTAAATTAGCTAAGTAACATGTTGACAAGACCTATACATAGGAATCATTCAATTTGCAATATAAAAATATATCTTAACATTGAGACAAAAATTTTTGCCTCATTTTTTAAAAATTCAGCGAATATAGTTGAAAACTGGACCTACCAATGCCTCGATCTGTACAATGGCAAAATATCTCTTGAAAGGTGAAATGCCAGATGACTAGTTTTGTTAAGATAAAAATAGACCACTAGTTTTACTAAATTTCACTGAACAATAAGATTAAAAACAAGCAAAACATCTCCCAGGTATTTTATTTTTTTAATGCTAATATCTTTTTTATAGAAATGTCAAAAGAATCTACACTATAATAGGTATTAATATTAGAATATAAATCAAAATGTTATACTTCTCAAGAGACTCCATCAAATATATAAACCTCAAACATATGAAATATCTACTATTACTAGTAGAGTAGTACAGGATATTAAAAATATCATCACCATCATTGTCAATAGCAATTGTTAACATTTATTGAGTTCATACTATAAGCTGACAGCTTAGCTAATTACTTTGAATGCTCTCTCTCATTTACTCTTCACTATAACCCAGTAAGGCAAGCACTATTTTTATTACCATATTTACACGAAGCTGTTCAAACTTAATAGTAATTAAGCTGCTTGTTTAAGGCCATATAACTGGTAAGTAATGAAACTAAGGTTCAAAATTGGGTCAAACTCTGGAACCCATGCTCTAAGCTACTATACTAGACTTTCCTTCAAAATTTAAAAGAAATATCAATGCTAATTGTAACCTTAATAGTTCAGCTTCACATCAGCTACAATATCCAGGACAAATTACACACCCAGCAATCAAGATTAGAGCTGCAGACAATAAGGAATAATTATAGGGCTTTAAAGAGACAAGTTTCATAATAAAAAAAAGGAAATCTATAAGGAAGAGGCTAGTCAAGAAACTGCTGGACAATCCAGATTAGAGGTGGCAGGGACCTGATCTAGGATGATGATGCTAAAAAGGAAAAAAAATTTTAAATTTCAAAGAAGCAGCAATGAGATTTTATAACAAACTGGATACATGGAATAAACAGAAAAGAATCCAATAGAACCCACTACAATTTTTGGGTCTGGGGGTGGAGGAGACACAGGGCTACTAAGAGATTCACGAATGTTTTGGACAAACTAACTCAGCTTACCACTTTGTTTAAATTCAGAGACCTGGAATTTGGGTCCCGCCCAATGGCCCAGAGCAGGCAGTCAACATCTGGAATAGTGGTCAAGGTGGGTTTCCTACCAGGAACTGAAGTAACCATGCAGAGTTCCAAGCCCGAGGAAGTCTTTTTAACTTCCTTGACCTATTGGCAGATAAATGTGTTAATTGTGGGGAAGGGAGGGAAAAAGGAAAGCAAAAAGGAAAGCTAGAATTCTTAACATTTAAAAAAATCCCCACTGAATCCTACCTGTAAATCTTATGTGCTGATACATTTACTTTTCCCCAAAGGCCACCAACACTAGAAGTCCTAAGAGCCGAGACTGTTTCCTACATTCCCCCAAATCATCCAGCCAACAGCCAGAAATGTCAGCTCATGTCAGCAACATAAGGCTTCAACTTAAAAACAAAGCATCTTAAATTTTACTTCTTAAAAACTGTGATAAAATTTTAAGCCATAAATCTAAATACAATGATTTGCAATTGGAGTGAGAGGAGGAGGAAATAAGCTATAGCAGCATCACCAAAACACTTTTTCACACTGTACAATCGTTGCTTCTCCCTGGACATTCTTAACCAGAACGGGGGTGGGGTGAGGGTAAGACAGGTCTGGAGAGTGCAGCCCAGCTACAGTTTGGTGACGGTCCCAAGGGGATTCTGATGTTGACCCCCGCCACCAACCTAGCACTTTCACATTCACAAAGCATATTTGCATTTATTATTTTACTTGATATGGCCTATGGTGAAAGGGGGAAACTCTGGCAAAAAAAAAAAATAACCATTTTTATAAGGCCAATGCTCCAGGAAAATTCTGAAATTTAGGTGATTTCCTGAGAAGTAGAGCACTTTGTTATTCTTTCCACCTGCAAAACCCAAAAGAGCATGCTTTAAGAATAGAGTCTATGACAATATTTCCTGAAAAATAAATATAAACCTAGAAAATAAAGATGTTCAATTAAGGCGTCTGAGCACAAAAATTCAAGTTTTAGTCTTACTAAACTATATTCAAATACCAGATTTCTAATCTTTTATATCTTGACTTCATTAATTAATTAGTGAGAAATACAGCTTCTTAGAATAAAGCAGAGTTGGTAGTACTCTACTCTAGAAAATAAACTGACTAGGGTAAACAAAGAGTTTGTGCTTATAAAACCAATGGGGTGAAGCCAAAAGCACAAAGTGTGATTCATACAGAGAGACAAGGGCTGTAAGCATGCGCTGGGCTAGGTCATACCTGTGAGTACTTCAGGACCTCTATGCCAGCATTCTCCAGCTCTTCAGTGCAGTTGGAACTGATTATTGAATCAAAATTTCTAAGTACCTGTATACAAACAAAGATAGCAGAAGTATAGAGGCAGGAAATAAAGATACGCTATAAATTCAAGAGAGAATGTTGGTATCATCCTTCCTCTTATCTCTTCATTCATGGCACTATTCTGAGTGGAGTTTTAATAAATCTATTTTCCTACATAGCCGCCAATGTCTGTATTACATCCGACTTCACAAACTCCTGTTCTACTGCTAAACAGATAGGCAATCTCAGCCCTCTACTATCACCATGTTTCTCTACTCCATGTTTCCTTTTCTTTTCCATAAGCCTAGAGATCAGAAATTCTCTTTCCCCTTTTATTACTCCAAGGCCAGCTTTCCTTTTGATATGATTTAAGGGAAGATTCTCTAGCAAAATCTCTTTATATAGGTAGAAAAGTCAATGGTGTGGCCTTGGAGATTTATTTTATAATAGTCTTAATATCTGTTTAAGATCATAAACTACTTTAGGATCCTAGATTGGTATATGTGGGATCCATTTCAATTAAAGTTTCCAACAAAGTTGAAAACACTGCTTTTTTTTCCCCTGGAATGCTAGCTGTTGTTCTAGAGAATATTTGTCTGCTTATTCTCTTCTGCTTATCCTCGAATCTTTCTAATGACTTATATGGTATGAGATGTTATCCCCATTTTTTTTTCAGATGAGAAAGTCGAGACTCTAAGAAATAGTGTGACTTTTAGAAAGTACTAGGACCAGAATTCAAATTGAGATTGGTCTGAATCTTCAAATCAAACTCTCTCCACATTATGCACTGGCTTCTTTCCACCCCATAATTATGGCAACCATGTAAGTCACCAGAACCATTAAGAATGGACCACTGTGTGCCTACCAGGGCAGACAATTTCTGCTCCATTACCCCTTGCAAGCCTATAGACCACGGGAAGGCACAAGGACCATGGAAGAACAAGGTTAAGTCCATTCTTTTTTTTTTCATTAGTTTCAAGTAAAAGTAAGGCCATTCTTTCACATCTCTCAGACCAGTTAATAGAGCCACTAAATGGGGAGTAAAGAGATATGATTTCATATTCTCGGAACCAAGGCTCATTAACCTGCCTTCCATATCTATGGAGACACTTTATTTATTTATTTTTTAAATTGATTTCAGAACACCAAGCTGAGGTGGGAAGCTCAGTGCAACTGGTCAATTTTATCTTACAAGGTATTCACATAGTCATTAACATCGCTGCTATAACAATATTCTCACACTTCACCTTCTTCACAGCAGTCATTCACTTAATCTTTGTTAGAACACTATCGTTATGAGTAGACATGCAGTGAATGTCTATCTTGTAGGATTTACTCTAAAAGGTGCTAGGAGGATATAAATATGCATATTGACACCTCTGTTCCCTTTCCAGTGGAGAAAGACATGTAACTTTTACAAGGTAAACTGAGGTCGACACTATGAATTCTCTGATTCATTCAATCCATTAACAAATATTTATTAAGTTTTACTACATAGAAGACATAAAATATTAGAACAAAAGACTAATAATTAACTATTAGGCTATACAGATAAGGTGTTTTATAAGAGACAAATTATACAGAACAGGGAAGATTTCATGGAGAATGTGCCATCTGCATTAGATCTTGATGATTTGGGAAGGGAAAGCAGTTTAAGCAAAAGAGTCCATACAAATATAAACACATAGGGCCAGGTTACAGATAGAAAATAGCAAGTAGGCTACTCTGAATGGAAGAAATTTGAAGAAAATAAGTAGGGAATAGGCCAGAGAGGGTTAATATCCTTCTGGAAGACAGGGAATATGTCTGACGAGATTGTTTTATGAGAGCTCAGTATATACACTAGGAGTGATGGTCAAATCTCACAAATCACAAATGTAGATCGATATGCCAGAAAATATATTTGTAGAGGACCTTGTCATGATAGTGGTGGTGCTGATAACAGAGGTGGTAACAATAATGGTGATATGATGATAAGGGTGACAGAAGAGGAAGAAGATACTCAGTAGGAAAAGCACATTTTTTTGGAAAGGGAATGGAAAACCCATTTTCTTTATTCCACGCTATTGGTGAAAGTTTATCCTAATTCTTAAGGAATGCAACCTCAAAGATGATATTAGTCATGGTGGAGATCATGGAACTGATAATGCAGTAGATTTAATAGTCAAGTAAATTAAATAAAGAAGGCAATAAATCTAATGAGAATAATCATGCCTTTTTCAAACAAAAGAAGACAAAGACAAGGAAACAACCTAACGTATAAAATTAACCTACAGAACTCAGTGTTATTGGATAGAATTAATGGATAGTATTAAGTAGGACTGTAAAATTTAAAAAGCATTTGGCACTTAAAAAAATAAGGAATATTTTTAGTATCTAATATCCTGAGGTAAGTATCATTATTATTTGTTAATTTCACTTAAGATCTTTAAATATCTATTTGATTGCTTGCCCTTATGAAGTTCCATGACTGTGAGAATCATAGAACCTTAATTAGGAGCTACATGAATTCTGTATTATAACACCATTGAAATAAGAAATAGAATTGACATAACAATCTAGGTTTTTGCTACCAGGATTGTTATTCTTTTTTCTTCAAAATTCTCAATATCATTTCCAGTTGGATTTCAATGTTCCTATGATGGCTAGCTACCATTACTGCTCTATGGAGACTATTCTTTTAAATAATAGTTGTCACCATCTAGCAATTTTTCTTTACTCATAGGCCTCCTCTGGAGACTTCTTGCGATAACACACATGTAACACACCTCAGGCAGGGTAAAGGTGGAAGGTCATGAGTTATTTATAAGACAGTTCTAGAATAGAGTTACACTGGGACAAGAAAAGGGAGAATGAGCCTGACGCATTGGGGGTGGGGGAGGACAGGAGGCCCAAGGAGACGTGGCTCTCTACAAACAAGGCAATTTCCCAAATGCAGGAAATTAACCACTCTATTGATAAACTGGAGCAGTTTATTTGCTTATTTACATATTAATTTCAGGCTAGCTATCCCTCTGCCTTTCTCCTTCCTTCCAATTTGCTGGATATATCCCAGCAATGCAAAATAACATTTACCTAGGAAAAATATTATTCGAGACATTAATTTCTTGGGAGTTAATTAAATAACAAGTCTCAAAGCCAGAAAGCTCCTTGGAGTACACACTAACCAGGATTATCCATTTCCCTCCTCTTCCTCTATTTGCTCAAATAATCAGGAATCTGAATCATAGCATTTGAGTGGCAGGGATCCGATAAATCCTGTTTCAAAGGCATTAAACGACTTGTACAAGACACACACTTATTAGGGACAGCCAGATTCTTAAGTCAACACCCATTACTGTCCCACACCACGTCTCTGAAAGCTCTAATGCTGTGCCACTATCCAGGGGTGCTAAGCCACAATTAATCAGCAAACGTATAAAGCAACATTTCACCATTAACGACAAAAATGGAGGCAGCATTTTAGTAGAAAAAATATTGTCCTGGGCTTCTGAGACTTTAGTTGATTCTTAGTTTTGATCCTAACTAGCAGTCACAAATCTCTGTTGGCCTTAAAATGAGGTTTGAGTAGATATCTGTAAGCTTCTTTTATTATTATGTGGTAAAAAATACATAACATTAAATTTAACAACTTAACCATTTCCATGGTGTACAGTTCCATAGTGTTAACTATATTTTTATTGTTGTGCTAATCTCTAAAACTTTTGCCTCTTGCAAAACTAGAACTCTATACCCATTAAACAATAACTCCCCATTCCCTCCTTCCTCCCCGTTCCTGGCAACCACCATTCTATTTTCTATTTCTATGAGTAGCACTACTCTAGATACCTCATGTAAGTGGAATAATATAGTATTTGTCTTTTTGTGACTGACTTATTTCACTTTGCATGTCCTCAAGGCTCATCCTAGTTGCAACATGTCAGGAAACTCTTTTTTTTTAAGGTTGAATAATATTCCATTGTATGTATAGACCACATTATGTTTATCCATTCATCCATCAATCAACACTTGGGCCGCTTCCATCTCTTGGCTATTGTGAATAATGCCGCCATAAACATAACTAAACAAATATTTTTGATAAGTATCCTTTTAATGCAAAGAACTTAGTAAACTTTTTTGACTACCTGATCATATGAAATTGATTTCCAGAATAAGAAGCTAACCCGATAGTCTGTAAACTTTAACTAATACTTATATTTAACCCTGTATGTCTCCTTACAAAGCCATCTGATATTATCTACCACTTCAGGATGAAAAGAACAGCCAGTTTGATTAAATCAAAATCATTACCATCAACTAGCAGCTGGTAGCTGGGAAAGACAGAAGGCCTAATTCGAATAGCTTCTATGCAACTCGATGTGGAACAAATCAACTGACCTCCACATGCTTTGTACCCTAGTATTTAATGACAACATGAGAGAAAATTCTCACTGCGAATGTTTAAGAAGACAAACATCAAGGAAAGAAAAGGGCAAAGGACAGATTTACCTTATCATGCCGTATCATTAGTGATGTCTTAGAACCCAAAGCTGAAAGGATCCCGGCTATCTCCACAGCGATGTAACCGGCGCCAACAATGACACTGCGGCTAAAATGAGAGCAGAGGGTTAATATATATATTTTTTAATTCATTTACTTTTATGGTGACATTGGTTAATGAAATCTAACGCCAGTTTGATTAAATCAAAATCATTACCATCAACTAGCAGCTGGTAGCTGGGAAAGACAGAAGGCCTAATTCGAATAGCTTCTATGCAACTCGATGTGGAACAAATCAACTGACCTCCACATGCTTTGTACCCTAGTATTTAATGACAACATGAGAGAAAATTCTCACTGCGAATGTTTAAGAAGACAAACATCAAGGAAAGAAAAGGGCAAAGGACAGATTTACCTTATCATGCCGTATCATTAGTGATGTCTTAGAACCCAGAGCTGAAAGGATCCCGGCTATCTCCACAGCGATATAACCCGCGCCAACAATGACACTGCGGCTAAAATGAGAACAGAGGGTTAATATATATATTTTTTAATTAATTTACTTTTATGGTGACATTGGTTAACGAAATCTAACAAGTTTCAGCTGTATGCTTTAACAGTAAGGCACATATATTTAATATTTTTAAATAAATTTATTTTGGAATAATTTTAGATTTGCAGGAAAAGTTGAAAAGATAATATAGAGATGTTCTGCATACCCTCTAAAGTTTTTCTGAAAGTGAACATCTCACATCATCATGGTACAATTGTCAAAACTAAGAAACTGACATTGGTACCTTGCCATTAACTGAATTCCAGACTTTACTCAGATTTAACCAGTTTTCCATTCATTTCCTTTTTCTGTTCCAAGATCCAATCTAGATACCACATTGTAATTTTAAGTAGAAAACATCCCTTTGCAGAAATATATTTTTAGTTGTTTTAAAAGTTCATTATCCTCATTTCTTCAGAGAGGAAACACACAAAAACACTGAAAATAGAGATGATTCCTTATGCAAAGATCTTCGCATCTAAAACTAAAATTGACACCAATTCTCACCACCATTATTCTCTGCTCAGGATTTCTCTTTGATCATTATCTATCAATCTTTGCAATATAATTAAAGGAAAATTTTAGCTAGCCATTTAACTTGTAGGATAGATCTGAATTAAAACTAGACTCCATGTATAAATTTTGGTCTAAGAAAGCATCTAAACACTGCATAGGTATTAGATGAAACTGCATCAATAGTGGAGAAGCTGGCCCCAGCCCTAGAATAATGTGTACTTCTATGCTGCAGCCTAGGCAAAAAGTAGTCCATTCAAGACTGTAGTTCTCTAAAGCTTCAAACACTGTCCTCTTCCATTCTTACAGTGCTTGGGTAGGAAGTAAACAATCAGGGAAAAATGAAGGAAACCTCTCTTTCGTTCCTTCCACAGATAAGGTACTATGTTGTGAGTCCCTGCCTTCAGAGAGCTATGGTCTGTATGGAGGATGAAGTATGAACCCAAATGGCTGCAAGTTAGAAGTACGCACCCTCTTATCCTATAATCCAGGTATGAAGAGAGAAATGTCTATATAGTTTGGAAAATATGAAACAGTTCTCTCTCTACCTCTCTCTTCTCTATTAATGATGATTCTTCTCCTTTCTTTAGGTCTTCCCTCTTTCTTCTTTTCTCTATCTATCTCCCCTTTCTTCCCCAACACTTATATTACTTTTGTTAAGCATTTCGCTAGACAAGATGAGTATCCATCCCTGCTCTTGAGGAATTCCTGAGGTTTTCTGAGGAACAGAAGTCAACAGTCAGTTCTTGCAGGATAGAGGGCTCAGAGAATGTTCCAGATTCCTGAAAGATGAGTGGCTCATGCAGGGGTTGGAGGATACATTCCAAGCAAAGGGGACATACAAGGAACAGGTGTGAAACAAGTTGGCTTCTTCAGAGAACTATACAGAGCTCAGCGTTTGGCTCTCAGCTCCCAAAAGCGCCTCTCTTCTACCTCTTGCCACTAAAGCATCCCTTGGAAATGACCTTACATCCCTCGAATCTCCAAAGCACTTCTCTTTAACTCAGAAATACCCGTACCACAGCATTCCACGGGGTCCATTCTCCTGCCTCCACCCTACCATAAGCCCAATGAGGGCAAAAGTGAACCATACAGCCCATAGCACATGATACCTTGCCTACAGAATTTATTCCTTCTCCGATTATTTGCTTATTTATCAACATAAAAATGATAAAGGAGTCTAAAAAAAATTTCACATAATCGTTATTTCATTTTCCTATTTTCAGTCTTCTGTTTATGACATGCATAAATTAGTTTATTGCTAGCAATGCTAATTTAATAAATAATTTTAAAATATTTAATGGAGAGACAGCCGTAATAAAATGTCTTTGAGGGCAAGTCTAGATTGAATTATATCATCTATACAAGACGAGTCACAACCACATTTCTGGAAACATTCTCACATGTGTCATAACATTCAACCCTAAAACCAAACAGTACAGGGTAGATCACAAGGGGAAAAAGGCTATTCTCTAACAGTTCCATGCCCTGCAGACAGCAAATCCAAAAAGACAGTTTGCTTTTCTCGAAGTCAAGATTGCCTGGTATTAATGGGACATTTTCACTGCAGCTTTGGAAAGAAAGAAGCCCTCTTCTCCCTTTATTAATTGTAGCTCTAGGTGACTTAAGGTAAAGGTATAGACATGGATTATTAGTCACCTTCCATGAAGGCCTCTTTAAAAGCACGAGATTAGGATCTCAAACCAGACTGGCAGCACCACTGAGGGAGCGGGAGAGTTGAGCAATACTGACTCCAGAGAGTTACTCAGAAGGAGATAAAGGCCAGACCTCGGGGCGAAAAGCGTCCCTCCTCCAGTTCTTGGGTGTCATCTCTTTTCACGAGTGAAAGGAGGATCTCATTAACCTAGAAAGCTTGCAACTGGCAGCTTCTTCAAAGTAGAGAAAAAAATCTTCCTCATTATCTTTCTCCTCTCATATATCTAAACCCATGACAGTGGATTACTAAGGTTATTTGGATAAACACATATAAAGAACAATTTCAGAAAATCTATTTTTGTGATACTGACAGAGGTTTCATTTACGGAGATCCCGCTGTACGAGAATCAGTTACTTGACACATTATCAAGCTGGAGAAAGAAGACAGTTTTAAATCTTTATTATTTATTCTTCCAAACCACCCTGTATTTGATTCTGGTTTTAAAAACTTTGCAATGGCCTCTAACCAAAAGCATGAAAGATTTGCGTCACTTAATGAGGGGTACTAGTGGATGAGATACCCAAGGTCATAAAAAGAAAAGAGGTAGGAGAATAGAATACAAGAAATACTTGCGTTTATTGGTTGGGGGCGAAGAGAAATGTCAGGGGGAGGGGAGGAGAAATGTCAGCAGGAGAGACTGAGGGAGAATGAACACTGAGGTCAGGAAGGAAACCAGCCTACCTAGGCAATTCTTCCAGTTCAAAAAATCCATCACTGGTGATTCCTAGGCTGGCACCTAAGTAAGAAAATACAATATAGATTACACGGATTGAGCTATCTCTTGGAAAATCATCGTAACATTTTCTGCAAGACCCAACACTTTCTCAGTCATCACATTCTGTTTTGACAAGTTTTGTTACAGTCCTCACTGCGGAAGCTGCCAACCAAGTCTCCGAGTTGACATTTTTGTTTTCTCTCTAGAAATAAGAGCAGCGATGACTAAATAACTAATACATTTTTCTGAGGAACTAAAATTTTCTCAGCTCTCATGAATAGACTCTTTGCTGGATCTGCTTCACTCTCCCACCCCCAAATGTAGGCAGGAACCACTTGGCTCAGCCATGATCCTCTTCTCTCTGCTTTTTTCTTCAAAAGATTTAACCAACTCTCCTCCCATTGTGGAGGACTTCCAAATACATAGTTCCAGTTGTGACCTCCCCAACTTCCGGTTCCATGTTTCCTAATTGTCCCACTATGCACTTCTACTTTGCTTCAAACTCAATATATTTAGAACTGAACTTTAACTTTATGTCCCTCTCTCAAGTTCACCAATTCACTTAAAGGGATAACCTTCCACATAATCCAGATGGAGTCTTGAACCGTCAATCAGTGATTCCTTCTCTCACTGCCCCCTTACGTCTCATCAGTTATTAAAAATATTGCACTTTGCCAAATCCACAGCACATCCTGATTACAAGACACATCCTGATTTCAGAGGTGTTGACTGTTTTTTTTTTAATGTCTTGGAATCAGCAGCGTCTCAGTAATTGTCTGCAGAACTGAACTAAGCTCTTCCATCACACTTCAGATGCTAACCCTGTAGTTTAAAACTGTATCATCACCTCCTGTCTATTGCAGCAGCTTTCTAACTGATCTTGCTCTTCTGTAAGTCACTGTCAGATTAGTTTTCTAAAACTGCCACTTAGATATTGTTACTACCTTACTTATAAGCTAATAATTATTTGCCCCAGTTGTCATGACTTATAGAGATTTAGTAATTTGACTTTATAAGTCACAATTTAGCCCCAACCCTCTTCCAGTCTCGGCTCAATGTATTCATTTCCAGAATTTTCAATGTTAGAAATACTGGTTATATTGGTTGAATGTCGCTCAAAGACATTTTTATTACTCACTGGTTCTTCCAGTCTTCCTCTTCCTCAGCACATAATGCTCAACTTATGAGCCCCTTTCCTGGGAATTATTTTTGGTTTATACCAGCCCACAATAATCTGTCCCACCAATGAGCACTCCAACTCTCACTGTCTAGGAGTCACTTGGTAACATTTACTTTTTATTTTCATTACAATTGTTTTTATTGTATGTTTTTAATTAATAAATGTGTATGTTAAAAAATTAAAAAGACAACAGAGCATCTAGTAAAAAGCAGATGTCTCATACCTTACACCTTTAGTCCTCTCCTTGTAGGGAGTCAGCATCACCAGGCTTTGAATATCATTCCAGAGATATTCTAGTGCACATATATAGTTTCCTTGCTTTCTTAAAAATATGCGGATTGTAGCATGCTATACAACCTGTCCCACACCTTGCTTTTTTTCATTTCATAATTTTGGAGATTGTTCCAGATGAGGATGCTTATGTACAATCTTCCCAACTAAATTTTAAGCTTTGTGAAAACAGTACCTTTATATCTTTTATAATAGTTGTTCTCAACTTCTTGAGGGTCATGAACCTGCTTTAAAAGCTGGTGAAAATTTGTGAATTCTCTCCAGAAAGAAAAAAAATTACATAAATGCCACGAAGACTCAATTTTTCCACATAAATTCAGGTTGGTCACAGGTCTTATGAAGCCAATTCATGGAGAATACAAAAGACGTATAAACTATGACCACCATCCACAAAGACCTTATAATCTAAGTGGGGGAGAAAGACATGGACAATGTGTCTTTTAAGAGAATAAGGCAGTATGCTCATGATTCGTCTCTATGTATATAAAATGCAAAGGCAGACATGACTGAGATTCCTTTCTGCTTTAATTTTATTATATGAGAAAAGAATGTATATAAAGGTTTAACTAGGTAATTAAGTTATATCACTACAAGATTTCTCTCCCTTAAACAAAAACAGTAAATACATCATGGGTCTTCAAAATAGCAACTCATGTGACAAACCGAGGCTGGAAACAATCTCTACCATACAGAGAGGAACAGATGCTCTCACTGATTTTTCTCTCTGTGTTACCTGTAGTATGTCTGAGGCTAGAGCTGGAAGAAATATCTTTCTTTGCCCTGTCACTAAGCACCACTTAAGCCAATTACATTTAGGTTCTGCAGAGACCTTCTCTTGTGGCCTTGTCCAAAAAAAAAGAACTGGTATAGGCAGATCCCCTGGAATGGCTTATAATAAGGCTGAACACAACGGTAAACTCCTCCTGGCTATTATTAACAAGCATTGCCGTTGGAAGACTCACCGGGGATCTGGCTCTCCTGAGGACGCGAGGGCATGCCACCTGTTGCAATCAGGATGTGAGGAGCAGTGTATTTTTCCCCATTGACCTCTACTGTGGGCTGGGGATCACACGTGAATGCTGCATGGCCATAGATGATGTCTATATGGGACTGGAGAAGGAACCATGACATTAGCCTGTTCTTAAGGTAAAACAAAAATACCTGCTGCAACATATCGGATCTTTTCATTTCTACTAAGGATCTTGATTTAGGGTTTGCTGAGGCCAAGACAATGCTCAGTTTCTGCAGAACTTCTGATACTTAGGTAAGGGGTTGCCATTGGATGCTGGAAGTGTACAGTAAGAAGAGTGCTATCATGGGCCAAAACCCAGAGATCAAAAAATATATGCATGTCACTCCCACAAGGAGAAAGATTACATCTTTGCCCCCAAGAGCTGAGGGAGGAAGTCTTCCTCACCTGCAATGCAAACACACTAAAGAATGATGTGTCTGGAGGAAGGCCAGCAGGCTAAGACAAAAGGATAAAGATGAAGGAAGTACAGGCAAAAGAGAAATACTCTAGCCAAGGGAGGAAAATACAATGCTTCCGTTTTCCTAAACAAAAGAACATCACCACAAAACTACGTGACAATGAAGTTCCATGCTAGAGATGTTGAGAACTCAGACTCTCATTAGTCTCACCGAAATCCTCTGTGCCAGGGCCTCGATTTGGGGACCAGAGATTGCTGGCAGCGAGCTCCTGCCAGCCACGATACAAGTAATGGCATGCGAATGTGGTCAATTTACAAAGATAATGAAATCATGCAAGCGGGATCACAGAACAGAATGTTTTAACATTTGGAACACGCTTGGTCCTGAAATGAGTTAACACCTCCTTTCCAATCACACTTCCAGGCCTGTTGAACAGGTGCCCTACTCAATAAAGTTGAATCAAGATCGATGCCAAAAGCCACAAACCTCCATTAAATCCTTCTTCAGGAGGTAATAATTTCCTATGGAATGCTACATAAAAAGAGGTATGGGGCAAGTGACAATAATATAAGAAACTGACAAAATTTTTATTTTTTAGGATATTTGACACAAAGTTTCCTTTCTTATTCAGAATTTTTGGATCAACTATATGTAAATCCTTCCTAATAAGCTCACAGTAAGTTTTACCACATACCAAGATTTGTATTTTAAAATGCTGTTTCTTAAGCCATTTTCCTATCTCTTTTGCACTTTAGCAAGCTCCACTTAAAAAAAAAAAGTGGTTTAGTATAACAAGTGGTATCTCTATACTCACATCTAGCAGCCTTAAAATCTCTTATTATCATGCTTAAAGAACTGAAGCCTCCAAATATTTTCCTTTTGAATTGGGGATTAAGGTCAGAAAATTTGGCCCTCCAAAAATTAACCCAACAAATGATAAGAATCAATATAAAAATATATAAGGTTATCCATCTGTAGAAGTTACTCTCCCTAAAAACTGGTTTATACACGTGCTGCTGATGAGATTATGATGGCCCAAATATCATAAAAAATCTACCAATCCAAATATAACACAAGCTCCACTGAAATCTTAGAAACTGAAAAGTGAGACTGAAAAGGCGAATGAAGATGGTAGGATATATGCTGTGAAGAAAAAGAAGAGTTGCACGGTACATAATTTGTCGATGTCTCAGACTGGTCCCAGGTGGCAGAGGTACGACATCTAAGTACTAAGGCTGGTTAAGCCTCAAGATGGTAAATGACAACATATATTTGCTGAAAGCAAACATACCTTTGCCTATGTTTCATTTTGTGAATGAAACACCTTTGTTGTGTTTCATTCACAAAAACAACCTTCTGAACCATAATTTGGTCTCCTGAGTAGATCTAGCCACTAAGGATGAGGGTGATCTGAGCAAATGAACAATGGCAGGTTTCCAGCCAGCTAATGCTCCAGATTTTAATTAATAAACTAGGATAATCAGCCTCTTAAGTGTTTGGCTTCTGGAACTAAGTGGAGGGCCAGACCTACTCAAGGTATAGCCATCAGGTGAGACCCAGTCTACCAGCTATGGCACACACACTGCCCACTCTGTAGAAAAGAGGACGGCCTACCAAGTCAGAGGCTTCTTCTCTCTGACAGGTCAATCTCAAAATCACTAATTACAAAAGAAGTTACAGAAACATTAAGAGATACATGCAATGGCTATATTTTAATCTGGCCAGACTTGTTAGCATACTCCAGCAGAGAACAGCTCGTTCTCAAAGTTCAAAAATCAGGGCACTCACCTTGGTTAGATTATTTTGATAGATGGTGTTCAGGCGGCTCACATAGGCATCCCGTTTTTCCTTTATAACACTGTGGTGAAACCCAAATCAGTACTGAGAAATAGGATTCTCCCCTTTCAGTTAATAACTAGGGCATCCATCCCTGAACAGCCCTTGAGCAGAGAATCACAGACTATCAATAAGAACCCCATGAGTGACTGTCTCTGAGATAGTCACCCCCGCCCTCGTGTCCATCTGCACTCACTATGGAGAGAAGCTCTATTCCACTCTGTGCAGACTGTTCAGCTGACATCCATGATGTGTAAGTAGAACCTTTCTTTGCATAGAAGACAAGGAGAACTGCTTTGGTGTAGTGCCTAGTGCCCAGTGGCTATTTGATATTTGTTGAATAAATAAGTGAATGCTAAAATTTATTTAAAATTCAAGGGCTTCAAAAAGTCTATGGCAGGTTCCTCAAAAAGTTAAACACAAAATGCCACATGACTCAGCAATTCCACTTCTAGGTAAAGATCCAAAACAATTGAAAGCACAAACTCACAGATCGACGTTCATAGCATTATTATTCACAAGAGACAAAAAGTGGGGGAAAAAAGTCCATTGAAGGATGAATGTATAAACAAAATATGGTATATAAATATAAAGAAATATCATTCAGCCTTAAAAAGGACTGAAATTCTGACACATGTCACAACGTCGATGAACTCTGGAAACATTATGCTAAGTGAAATAAGCCAGGCATACAAGGACAAATATCGTATAAAGTACCTAGAATAGGCAAATTCATAGAAACAAAGTTTCTGGATGGCAGACTAGTGATACCAGGGGCTGGGAGGAGAGAAGATGAGGAGTTACTGTTTAATGGGTACATTAAAAACATCATTTTACTGTACCCATTTAATGGGATGGCGGAGAAGTTCTGGAAATGGATAGTGGTAATGGTTGCACGACACTAAAAATATATAAATGCCACTGAACCGACAATTTAAAAATGGCTAAAATAGACATTTTATGTGGTGTGTCTGTATGTGCACATATTTAATGTATATAACTTGATAAGTTTAGAGATAAGTATGCACATGTGAAATCATCACTGCCGTCAAGGCCATAAACATATCCATCACCTCCGAAAGCTTGTTTTATATAGTTTACCACAATAACACTCCCACACACACCAAAATTCACAGCTCATTTAATTATGAAAGAAAATATTTATATTTGTAAAAAGAACCGTCTCAGCATTAATACTTACCGCCAATTGAATTTACTATCACAATTTTGAAAGCCATAATCAACATGATCGTGCATGAATTCAGAGTGGACAGCTGTGTTCCACATTACCTGTGAAAAAAGGACCCAAAACAGTAGTGCATGAGTTCTGAGAGAAAACAAATCATGAATGAAAAATAACTATATAACAGCAGATAAATGTACTGATTTTAAAATTAAAAATTAAACATTTAAAAAGAGAAAGTTCAGAAATGTGACCGGATAGATTTTATAGGGAAGCCTCTAGAATGTTTGGGAGAAATTACTTTTACGGTTAAATTCCATAGTTTATAAACTCTGTAAAAGCAGGATATTATAAGTCCCATAGTCCTTCCATTAATCTTTATTACTGCTTACATTCTTTTTTTAAGTTTCAGATTTCTTTAAGCCCTGCCTTTTGTGATTAGTTCTAGGAAGTGGAATTATATCTGTAACTTCACAGTAAAGTGATTTCAAAGGATGCTATTAGGTAAAGTTGAGGACTGAAAACTTCAAGAGAATGAATTCCTATTATGTATTCAGTAACTACAAACATGTCCTTGTAAGACATATGTAATTAGACATCTGGAACTCAAAGGTTCAATGCACCTCTTGTGGAATGTAGCCTACAATCCAGAGAGGACTTTTAATGCCAACAGATCATCACGATAACTGGATTCAAACTAGCATCCAGAACTCTCGATGACAGACAAAACTACCATTTTTCTTTGTCAGACAAGCCTTAGACTCCTCTCTAACAAGACTTAAGATTCCTTCTTCGCACCTTTCTCTCTTTATGAATAAATTGATGACCACTGCATTGTTTTGTTTTTTTATACTGAGGTGAAATTCACATTATATAGTATTAACTATTTTATCTGCTGGAATCTTTATCTTAATGCATATGAAAGACATCAATACTACAGATATATTATGTAATTTTAAGAAACATCACAGTATCTCATATTTTCCTGAGTAAATATTTGTTTACTTCCAATTTGTAGTATGTATGATGCTTTAGCATCAAGCACCTCTGGAGGCAGTGCCTCTGTATGAACTGTACGGGCTTTTACGCTCAGATCTAATCGAGCAGTTAGCAGGCCCATCCATCTGGCTCCTTCTCTACGGCTGCTTCACTCCACCCTTCTGCAGGGGGCAGTTACTCTAGGCTTCAGTCTGTTCTATAAAATAAGAGGCAATTACCAAATAACTTCAAGAATGCAAAAGTATTTTGAAATCAGTAAAGTCCTATAAAAATACAAAGTAAATGTCTAGTACATGTGATCAGAAGAGAAAAGTGAAATATATGGAACAAAACATTACAAATTTAGGCTACTGTGAAGTATCAGCCCAGATGGTATTTTAAAACAATGAGGCAGCAGCAATCACTACCAGATTTACTAACATAATTGGTTTAAACTACATAACATCACCTTACGAATACTTTACATAATTCATATATCCATAATTACATGATTCCGAGTAGTACAGATTCTAAAATCTAAGATGAAAACAAAATAGTTGAGGAACAATGTCCCATAGGAAAAAAAATTTTCCTAAGACAGAAAAAAATTCTACCTATACTAGAGAAGAGATTACAGATTCTGGAATTAAACTTAGATGTGTGTTACTGATGGGATCAGGATATTTGCTTACATACCAAAAAGCTGCCAATTTAATATCTAATCTCAGTAACAAAAGGTTGTAACCTTGAGATTATAACATGTTTTGAAAGTACATTCAAATGAAGAGTAAAATTATTTGCAAGTATAAGCAAGAGGCAGCTTTGGAAATAAGAGCTGTCATTTCTTCCTCTTTGTCACAGGCAAAGGATGAGTTCATTCAATGTGCTACGTACCATAGCTATTAGAATCAAAAACCACTGCAGTAGTAAAGAGAATCTCTGAGGCTATAGAAGTGAATGGAAACACTTAAGATTTCACTTAATAATTTGGTGTGCTAGCTGGGTCTCCCTATTGAGAAAAAGCTATCCTGTACAGATGACCAGTCCTAATGACTAGGCCCAGATATAATCTCACTCACTCTAAACTAATAAATCAATGTATCATTTTATAAAAACGATTCCCGTCATATTGGGTCATCAATTCACTGGTCTATCTGATCACTCCCGAGTGAACCAATAAACCTGAATTTCTGGAATAGCAAAGATGGGGACTAGGATCCAAGTATGTAGCAATTCTATCAACAGACTGCTCACCATAAAGGTAGCCAAATACTGTCTTTCAAGCAAATTGAGAAATTCAATCTTAGAGTAGCCATAAGATATCCAAAGTCACATGATACATGATTTTCATATGGGATTTAACAGGAGATTTTTAATTTACACGGAAATCCATTTGTGTTTAAAAACAAAAACTCCTACCAACAAAATAAAACAAGAAAACCTATGAAAATCTCGACATGACTTTCCAGGAGAAAAACAGTTCCAGTCTCCCTGGGGAAAACTGATTCAGAGATGCACTGGAACAAGTGAAAAGACCAGATGGCTTGAGGCAAACATCCTACACTCTGCAAAGTCACCCCAGGATTACAGGTAGTTAACCAGAGCCATCTGTGGAAGGAGGAGCATCCATCCGCCACCATCATCCACCTAGTCTTGGTCATATCAACACTTGGGCTGAGAGCTGGGTATAAACTTTTTATTTCCTGTTGGATCTCCCTATTGAGAAAAGTTATCCTGTGCAGATGGATAGTGCTTTTCTTTTATGCCATGACTATAGATATTTGGTCGGTCTTTGTTCCTTCTAGACCATCAGAAGTTTGAGACCAGACACTGTGTTCCATACCTGGTTACCTCCCCCGCAGGGTGCCCCCACAGTAATTCTGTCACTTTGTCATCATGTGGTGAGAACTTATCACTTGGCCAATGTCCAGGATGACTTTCTTTTGCATGCATGATGAAATGAGTGTCCAGGCCCTCCCTCCCCCAGCTCAGTTCTGACCAGGAGAACCTAAAGCAATTGTAGAAACAGTGCTGAGTGAGGAAATCTGCCTGGAGATCCTGGAGCTATCCTGTGGCCATGAAACAGGGGGTTTACTGTTCGTTATGCACCTAGGATGTCAGAATGGAAAGAGGCCAGGGTCCCTTCAGATATCTTTAACTGCTAAGCCAATCTCAGAAACGGCCTATCTCTAGGCTTCTTTTTTTTTCCCTTCTAGGTTTCTTAATAAGTGATATTTAAAAATACAAACAAAAACTATCCTATTGTTTAAGCCATTTTAGTTGGTTTCTCAGTTATTTTTTGCAGAAAGAATTTTAACTGATACATTTGGAAACAACCATATTCTGATCATGATTTACCAGATACATAAAAGGAGTGTGAAAGGAAGGAGAAATAAAAATTCTACCTTTTTGGGTACACATCCAACATTCACCTGAGGAAAAAATGAAAAAAGACGTGTTTTAATAGTATTAAACTCAAACCATCAAACAAACCTGTAAGAAATGAACCCCAAGCATCAACCCAGGAGATTCTTGAGTTCTAAGTCACAATCTACCTTTACTTCCCTTTTTCTAATACAGAGCTGTAAAAGATGGACATTATTTTTCTTGTGTGATGAGGCAGAGAACTTTCCTCATCAGCATTTTCTCAAAAGAGCAGAGAGTGAGAATTCCATTTCCAGGGGCCATGCACTGCAGGAATGGTACAGGTCAGGAGATGGCAGAAGCTGAGCTTGCACAGAACTCAGAAGAAAGCAGCAGAAGAGAAATAGCACACAGAGCTGAGAGGACGCACCAGCTGAATAAGGGCAACTGAACCATCTGAGCAGCTGACCTGGAGGATTTCTGGGAAACTTACTGTGGAGCATCTTTGGTAAAACACTGAGAATGCCGCCTTTGAGAAAACCTCTCATGGAAATCCACGTTATTCTTCAGGACCAAAGGATGATGATGAATCAAACAGTAATGTTCATCTACGCTATGAAGTCATATACTTGAAGTCACAGAGAGATAGATCACAAATTTGACTCTTAACCTTCTAGGAGCCAGTACACAAAGGAAAACAAATACTTATATAAGGTTTCATGTAAAAACTAATTGTTTAAGAAAATAACTATTCTTGCCCATTAGACTAGAGAGAAAGTCCTCTCAAGGGTCCTTGTAAACTAGCTGTGACATATATGTTCACACACAAACTTCTGTTTACATTTATTTGACATCCTATGTTAATAACTGAAAAAAACACATTAAGAGTAAGATTGATTAAAGTGCCTTGAGGGTGAAGAAATTTGGACTTGACTGAATGGATGACCACTCAGTATATCTTAGCAGAGGAGTTGATTACAGGAGAACTAGATTGATCCCTCTCTTTTGAAGGGCAAATTAGAGACCCCTTAGCTCCAGAAACCTACCATGTAATGTATATTTCAGATACCCTTTAACCTTATAAACACCAACTGGGAGGTGTGGTGATGTGTCTTGGCCACTACAATGAGACTTAAACAAGGTATCAATTGTACATCCTTTAAAAAAAATCAGTATATTTACTCATGCCTATTGGCACAGGACAAAGTCTAAATATTCAGATGCTGGTGAATACTTACCAAAAGCACAAAAATATAAGGTACTATATATGGCATGGAATTTAGGACATTGATCAACCATTAGTAAAGAAACTTGAGAGAACATAAATACATATTAGACCTCATAAGAATGACTAGGACTTATGACTACTTCTATGCATTCAGCCTAAAGGATTAATCTAAGATATACAAAAGCTAAATACACAAAGATGATGTTACATCTAAACACAGGTATAATCATTTGCTTACCATTATCATAAAGAAAAATATTTATGTAATAAAAATGAAAAAAGCAAGATTCAATAGAAAACTATATTTTAAAAATTTTAAGATAAAAGATAATCTAAGTAATAAAATATTTTAAATCTATTGATAAAAAAAGATTTTCCATATCAGTGTTAGAAAGCACATCCACTTTGTTCATCAAGTCTATGGTTAGGAGTGTATCCTACAGAAATTGTCACATATTTTACTCAAGTGCCCCAAAATACATGTATAAAAATGTTCTCTGTAGCACTGTCATAGTGAATGAACAATCATCCATCAGAAGGGAAGTCTTATTGTAGGG